GGAGGGTCGTACTTTTCCGCTGGGGAGAGGGGTTATATTCAGTCGTTGGGAGAGGGCGGGGGTCGTATGTGCCTTTAAGAGCGATTTGCTGCGTTGGGAAGATTTCGGGTTGCTGACTTTTCACATGATTTGTTCCTGTTTCATATGAACTACATGTCTCCTACACTCCCTGCCTCTTCCCCTCCCCCCCCTCAGCCCCGCTCGACAGCAAAATTTTTGGGAAAAGTAGGGAAATTTTCGAGAAGTTCTTCCGAAAAAGTGGTAGGGAGTTGGGGAAATCTGAGAAGTTCTTCATTCTTCCGCTTCACATTCGCTATTCTCTATCATTCGCTATATCCCCCCTCGACGGAAAATTTTCGGGTGAAAAACCGGGAAATGTGGGAACTTGGTAGGTAGTTGTTGGGGAAGGGGGTCATCGTACCTACACCACCACACACATCACGATGCTGTCCCCTGTCCGGGATGATCACTTGCCGATGTCAGTGAGCTACTGCAGGAAACTCGGGCGTTGCGGTGATGCATTAAAGGCGGCGTTGTAAGCGGTGTCGCCTGTGCTGCATTCGCTCCAAGACCTATTTGATTTAACGTTGAAGCGCTGCAGCATATCGAGTCAACTAGCTAAAAAGTTTTAACGGGGGAAACGATGCTGCACGTAAGGAGGAACGTGTTTGTGAAGATTGGTAGAAAAGCGTTAGTGAAACAGCGTCATCAGATTGCCTTCGCTTGTTATTCAGCAATTATGCATGGGAAGCTGTAGCCAGTGCAGCACTGACGACTGCCGTCCCCCCCCCCTGCTCCCCACACGACTCCAGTTATACTTCTGATCATACTTGGGTGTAACACATCGCTTGTCAGCTTTAGCTAATGATGTTAATTCAAAGGGTTTTTGTTCGTTCTTGCGGATTAAGGTATAAGTAAGGTAAGGTCTTGGCTGGTCTTAGCTCACCTGTGTTTCGCTAAGGTTGAGCGCGTTGGCAAGCTCTATCCGTTCCGGTGTGCTGAGGTATCGTTGCGTTTCAAATCGTTTTTCGAGTCCTTGCAGCTGCTGATCGGAGAACACGGTACGTGCCTTGCGTCTACAACTGAGAAGGTAAACGGTTAAGAGAATAAAATGAGATGGTACAAACGGAAGAGCAAAGTAGCTGAAAATATGACTTGTCATTGAATAACTTTAAATGGTAGGTTTTATATTGTGCTTTCACTAATGAATCCCAAGTCTTCAAATTTCTGTCTATTGTTTCATAGGGATTACGCATATTCTTCGTGTCAGCGGAAAGGGGCTCACATCTGTCTCTCGGAGAACATTCCAAAGTCTTACTTGGAAAAATCCAATTGCGGAATGGGAAGGCTCATCAGAGGAGGCCTAGCGATTCCGTTCGCACCTGCACCCCAACCAGTAAACATCATAGACATGGGAAATTTTTCTACGAAGGCTTCCTTCGCTGTCCACCATGCCCGACATAGATCGAGAGCGACGGGGAGGGCGATGGGCTAACGACAACTACCACAAAAGCCGAAAACGGCGCAGTTCGGCGACGGGGGGGGCATTTTGCACTTTTGCTACTTCCCATCGACGTGTCGACCTATCTAGACAGCCTCTTCTCGAGTTGACAGGTTTTACCATGATGGCTTGACGACCTTGCTCCAGCTTCACAAGAGTTCACAGGTTTCACCAGAGTGAGACTTGTAAACCGGAACTAGTGAAGCAAGCGAAAGTGCAAAATGCACCCCCTCCCCGTCGCCAAACTGCGCTGCCGAAAGCTAAAACACCCCCGAAGCTGTTTCCACAACCATGGAGTACACTTAGTCTGCCCAAAGGTTAAGAAAAGAGTTAATGAATCCGTGCTGAAATCAGAATGTCGGCCGAAAACAGTTATTGTTAGCCTAAGACTGTTGAAAAACTTCACTTCATAGTCACTAAGGCATCTATTCATTAGAGACCGAAGACGTTTTACGAACATTTTTAGCTTTGCTGCTATTTTTTGACTCGAACAACCTGAGAGTCCGATTACTGGTCTCGTAGGGAAGAACCTTGCTGCAAGAAGGTTAGCCGTACGGTTTTCCCCACGAAAACTCTATTAATCCAGAATCTCCGGAAAGTATACGTAACCGACCCTATTGAGGTCCCGGGAGCTAAATACCATTGGCTCATCCAGTCTAACTAGGGTTAGAACCAGCTCAAGGTGACAGGTGAAGCTCCTAAGTTGATAGCTCTCAAGAATAATTCCAATAGCTTCAGGACAA